CAACTACTAATACTACTACTACAAGTACTGCAATTTCTTCTTGTCTTTCTTCTTATCTCCGTCTTTATCTGCTTCACCTATATTCTGCGGTAATTTCTGCGTTGAATTTAATAAAATTATTCACATCTAATTATCCTTAGTTAAGTCACGTTTGCTTTGTCTTAATTAGGTATTGCAAGCATTGTGATAATGAGGTGAACCTTTGTAACTCTTGCCAGGTTGTTTTTCTTTGTTAATTTGTTTACTTGTTTTGTTGAAATATTTGCGTTTGTTTTTCTCTTCTAAATCTATTTCATAATTTCATAATTAGTTTTCTGTGTAGGTTTAGCTGATTCACCTTTCAGTGAATTCCAGTCAGTCTAATTAGTCTTCTAGTAAAGCAGAATGTAAGACAACTTTCACTGATTCACAAATTCTATAAAAAATAAACGTCCTTCAACTGAAGCTAATTAAATGAGAATAATTTTATAATTTTCAACACAAAAGATACCACAGAATGTAGGTCAAGCAGAAAAAGACTAACAAAAAAAGAAAACAAAATAGTAATATTAGTTTATTAGTTAAATATGAAGAACATTAGAAAAGAAATTTTAATATTTTTATGAAATTCTGTTTACTAGTAGAGGTTACAGCTAGAACGACACTTTATTTTATTTTAATATCTGCGGACAATCGAATGTAGCTTTCTTTGCGTAAAATACCACCAAGTTCCAGGCTGAGTATCCTCTGATTTCCATGGAATAATGGAAGGTGACAGGTAGGTGAATCGGATTGTGTGGGTGCATGTATGTTTCGTTTCTAACAGTTCAAATTGGAGGAAATAAGGCAATTAACTGACTTTAACGATGAGTGGTGATGCTCTGTCGTGCTGTCGTGTTCCGTGGTATGAGAATGTTTGTGTGGGTGAGGAGTTACGAAAAGAGAAGAAATTGAATGATGCAGGCTTGAAACAGCCTCAGTGGCAGGCAAAGCTTTAATGCAGTGGGAACCAATCCAATCCATGATCACGAGAGCAAGGTTCAACTCAAAAGGCAGAAAGCAGTGTCACAAGTAATCAATGCTATGCACAGTGCTACAAACAACGCTGAACAAGAGAAGAAAGACGATTTTTACAGAAAACTACAAGCAGTAATGTACAATATCCCAAATAGATACATCAGAATCCTCATGGACGACATGCATGCAAGCCGAACTGGGAATATATAACATAGGAAGAGAACTCATCATGAGTCGAGATGATCTCTGTTTCTCGAAATGAATATGAATGGAGAACACTTCACATACCATAAACTATTTGAAGGAACAGAGGGCAAGCTGAAATTGCTGAATAAAATTGGAGACAGACCACTGTAATTCAAGTTCAACATTCGGCAACTGAAGGACAAAACTTCAAGAGATGCCTTCATTTCAGATCAGATCTGAGCAAAACTGGAGACACTACGTGATATTTGTGAGAAACTCAGCATGGAAGAATTCCATTACGCGTAAAAATTTATTTTGATGAAGTCTCACAGTGTTATACAGTATTATTTACTGATGACAATTCGAGCACAATCTATTGCTCATAATCATATCAAGGTACTTAAAAAGAAATTAGAATGTTGTGTGAGCACCTTGATATGATTATGAGCAATAAATTGTGCTCAAAAAGTCATCAGTAAACAATACTGTATAACGCTGTGAAACTTTATCAAAATAAATATTACCCATAATGGAATTATACTCTACCACAGTGTAGAAGTTCTGTTCTTATATCAGATGGAAAAACATTTTGAATAACTCTGTGAAAGTGATATTCAATGAAACGTGTACAACTGTTCTAGGAAAACATAAAAGCCACAGAAGGTGCTGGCTCTCAAAGGATACCTGGAGGGCAAAAGAAGAGATGAGAGGGGGATGGTCAGAGAAATGATGATCAAATGCAAAATGGATAACCGGAAGAGACGCTGAGTTCAATATACACTGTACAGAACAAAAATGTTAATAATAGAGCGAATGAAGATGGACAAAAATTCTACGACAAACTGGCTTGCAAATGAAGTGGAACATGTGGCTATAACCAAGCATATCACAGAGACCGGTCATAAATTCGTGTTTAGTAATGCTTCTAAAACTGCCTATCAAACAACATTCAGCACTCACTGAAATTCATCGCGACCGCAGTCTTAAATGTTTGAGTATGCGCGCGAATCCGTTAGACGGCAAGGTTGTCTTCGCGTAGGTCTCAGATGGTCTCTACGCAAAGACATATACAAAGTTAGAGGATGTATCCTTAACTTAAGATTCGTTAAAATGGTCGCTCCTAGCACAGCGTATAGCAATTGAACACCGGCTATGTTTGTTTCTTTGCTTGGCATGCACCTTGACTTTTGCTGATAAGTTCGAAGAATAAATTTACGTTTATACGGATTATTTTTTGACCACTTTCAAGTTGAACGCTGCTATGATGTCAGCACATTCACGACGTAACTTCAATTATTTCAAAGTAAACTATTCTTTCCCTCATGATTTCCACATTGAAAATTCATGTGCTAACTTCATTATGCCTATAAACAAAGAAAACTCATATCTCCCAATGTAATTTCAAAAGTAGGTATATTCGTGTATGTGGACTATTCAGCAGACGATTTCTACCGAAAATTTATGAATTCATTAAATCCTTCTCCTTACATGCAACTTGATTTGAAAAGTGGAAATATTACACCAATTTTCAACAGAAAATTGAGGACATCACTAGGCAGAGACTATCCTGCATCCAAGCTAGTTCTCGTTCTATCGAACAACTTGCTCTTCGGTACAATAAAACATCGACGGATATATCTTTATCATGTTGACTCCAAATGCATGTGCAAGTTTACATGTATCTGGGGGATACGTTACATTGGAGGAACAGAAAGTAGGGCATACTTCTTATTTTTTTGATCATGCACCAAAAAGCCTATGTCAAAAGAGAACAAATGCTTTGAACAGTGCCATCGCCAGACATCTCCTTCACACAGGTCATGAGGTGGAGTTCACAAGACTATTCAAAATCATCAGTAGGCAAAAGAGGGTTTGATTATCTTGTTAAGTTTGCCTAAGCAATTTCCACCAAGCGCCTGAAAACCGATTTATGTGTTCAGAAAGATGCAGTTATCAGTCTTTCTTTGCCCTAGTAACTCAATATTTTCACCCTCTCTTTCATCTGATTGCGTAATTTCAAAAGCTTCCATTGTTCATGAACATTATTGTTAGGATAACGTGTTTATTAATGCATATATATATTATGGTATGCATATATTGATTTGTTTTTTGATAAAAGGATAAAAACTGGTTACTGTAGTAGAGTATAACTCTTTTATAGACAAAATTTTTATTTTGACAATGTCACACACATTTACGTTTCAAGCACAAATTATTCCTCATATTCCTATCTATGTATGACATGATTTTGATATGATATTGATAATATTATAACCAATATTTTGTAGTTAAAACATGAAATATTACTGTATAACACTTTGTAATTTTTTCCAAATAAAAATGTTATCGATAATGCTTGATTTATTTTAATGGAATCTTTATGCGGTTATGTTAAGATTGTTCCAGTAGGTATGCTTAATAATGACTTTGGGCTGTAAGCAGTTGATAAAAAGCCAACGAAATGAATGATGCTACCAATTTATGCTGTAAAAACTGTTGTTCTTGTTTCTGATTGCGTAATGTCTACTGGTTAATTCACTTTGCTCATTATGAGATAAGCATTACAATCTGCCTTGGGTGAATACAGAAGTTTTAGCTACGATAAAACAGCCTGTATAATCAAGTTAAATGAACATAAATAATCAGTCAACGTCAAGCTGCTGCAAGGATAAATCAATTATCAGATGATCGAGGATGTATCCTAAACTTAAGATATTCGTTTAAATGGTCGCTCTTTGCACAGTGTCCAGCGAATTTGTAGTGGTATGAATTCGATGCGTATAAAATGAACAATATCTGAACTAATTTCAAGTTTGACGATGGATTGATATCAGCTAGAGAAGCGCTGAAGAACATCAGGTCGAACTGAATAGCTGTTTTGTCAGCCTAGTTTGGAACTCATCAGAAGTACGTAACCAATGAGGTTTGAGTGCCGGACCTTCCGATTTCAAGAGAAGCAGTTAGAGCATTCAGCCAAATCAGTCGGCAAGTCATGAATTCTAACCCTTACCAGCTGGTGATTTTAGCGTGACTGGAAGCAGAAAGTGTCATCCTCGGCGGGAATTTGTCCACACTCTTGAGTGTTTGAACTCTGCTGGTCAGGATTTAACATTTAAAATCACACCAGGTATATTAGTGCTGCAGGTAGTCACTAGTGAGAATCAGAATAATTTTGAAGATTTAATTTGTAAGAATTTGATTTTTTTAAGTTTCACCACAGATTGATGGCAGTCAGAGAAGCATTGATAACCAATATGAAATGTATGTATCCACCAGGGATCGGTCTAAAATCAAGAACTTTTAGAAGTTAGAATTCATGCAGTGGCCATTTAGTTGGGCCTTTTTAGTTGAAAGGTCTACAAGCTTGCCATGTAACTGGAAGATTCTGTGTTCGAACTTAAGTTGGTGAATAGTGCCGATTAGTCCCAAACTAGGGTAAGGAAATATATGTCCAGGACTCCCTGGTCTTTTTCAGTGCTTTTCTAATTGTGATCTATCCATGGTGAAAATAAGAGCAAATCCCGTTACTCTATTCAAACTAATTGTTGAAAAATCTACTTTATATGAAATAGGTATGAGTCTATTTTTTGAGAAATGATTGGTTCATTTGCCTTCACATGCATGATGACCATGGACAGCAACAGTGACCGTGAATCAGTATACTATTGCTTTTTTTTGTAGCCAATGTACTACTGACTGACTTTATATGCTACGTGGTATGCTGTGTTACTTGCAAAATGTACCTGCATCTTTAGATAGGCGAACACAAAACTGAGATACACATTTGTTCACCATAAACATACATTGTGTGTTTACTATAAAAAGGCTATATGTGAGAGATTTAGTTATAATATTATTTTGCAGTAGATAACAGTGACTACACATACTGTTGAGAGATCTGGAATCATGCAGAATTTATTACTACAGGCGTTACTTTGCCTTCTACTCCTATTATCGAACAACAATGCATTTGAAGAATGTAAGTTAATTATATATCTTTTTTAATAACTTGTCGAAATATTATCCTTTTTGGATACGAAATTCTCTCAAGTTTATTTACAATAGTTAATTACTCATCACTGTAACTATTTAAAGGTGAATTTAAGTATATATTTAATTATGATTAGAAATTAAATAGAGAAACATTGATCAGCGGAACGCGTGTTTTGTTCTGGCTCAAATATCCCTGAAAGAGTTGGTTGATTGTTGGAATATATTAGCGGATTGGCTGGTTTCAATGCCTCGGAAGTTAGATTCCAAGTCCCTGACTGAATGATCGACACACTAGCCTCATAAACTTTTAGGGTGGAACTCTGGTGAAATAATATGTGGATAATGTAGAGGAGTCCTTTACTACGGAGAAATAGATGCTTTACTTAAAATAATGTTATTTCTACACTCAAATTAATCAGAAATCACTAGTATAAGACCTGAAATATGAATATTTCTGTTAAGCTAATAGTTACAGTTTTTGATGTAAATAAATTCCTTGGATAGCTTGAAATGTGTATGTGTAAGAGTTCGACTTTCTCTCCTGATTAAATTGTCAACAGCGAAGTAAACTCAATTCAGTCTGATTATCTAAACACCTAGATAAGCAAGTCGTGTTCAATATAACTTCCGGAAGCATCTGCATTTACACGACAAAAATGAATATCCAATCATCAACATAAAAACGAGGAATATCATTCTAAGACTAACTAGCGGAAAGTTCTGTCACATTTAAATAATTACAGGATTCCCTGCAATTGAATTCATTTCATACACTTCAAGTTTATCTCCAAGCTATGAGTTAGTTTTAATTTTTAATCCTTGACCGTTGAAAAACTTCATCGGTAGTAAAATTAATACAGGTGTAATCAGAATAAAAGCAGCCTGTGTTCACTACAGTCTTCTCTATATTATGTGCAGTGTGATACTGGTTGTATTGATTTATCATTCCTTTCAACTGTCATTTTCTGAAAACGTTTATTTCCCGATTTGTATTAAAACGAGGAACATGAGGTAATAAAGCGGGATTTAATGTTTCATCAAATTCCGGTAGAACTCCTGCATTATATTCTAACACAGTCACAAAAGTGTACACTGAGAATAAGGGTAGATATATGTTCAGAACGATACAGGCATTCATAGATAGATGGATAAAAATAAACATAGCTAGATAGGTAGGTAAATAGCAAAACGGATAGCAACTGAAATGGATTAATGCGTCTCAGTGAACCGGTGAAAATAGTGTGAGAGTGAGTTTTTCAGTGAATTGTAGTGTAGCATAGAAGAGTGTATAGCAGTGTACTTGAATAAACAATGAAATGTCATATGATTCCATTTTTATTTGCTGGGAGAACTTCCTCGCGAATCCAAAGTAATGAAATATCTGTGTTTTGATTTCAGATTACTCCTACGACGACGATTTGGAAGGTAATACTGTGGTGCTTTGAAGGTTGACAGCATTCTTCGCAGTCTTTATGAGATGTTCTTTGCACCAGGCTCATTTCTCACTCACTCACTCCCTCACTCAAAGATGCTCTGAATTATTCAATGGCAATAACTGACGTCGACGATTTCGTCAATTTTTTTCATTTCATCTGTTTGCGGCGAAGTTGTTCGTGTTTTCTGTGAGTGAGCGATTCATTGGTGCAGTATAGGATCAATGTGAATGAAGTTGCTTCCGAGTTACCGCCTACTCTCACAACAAATTCAACTGGTGGTACGGGCTCTAAAAAATAATTTCATTTATTGAGACGTACTCACTTGCCCAGTGTCATACTTTATTTAAATATTCTACATGATCTGGTGCAGTTTTATTTAGAATTGTATATTGTTAATTGTCATTAGATAGGTTTATGTCGTTTTATGGTGTGCGCGCTTATTTCTCATTATGAATGGGCAATTTGACTCGCAATTTAAAGTTTACTATTCACTTAAAGGACTGCGAATTCTTCCAAGTAGAATTTGGTGTTGTCAGATGATTCATGTAATTACTGAGATGATGAGATTGAATGTGGGTTTCTTCTGGTTAAAGTGAATTTCAGTCTCTTTATTAGCACTTCACGCAATGCAGTTACATCTGAAGCATAAAATAATTCATTTAGTTATATATTCCTTTGTTACCAAGAAAGGCGCACTGGTTGTTACATAGTCAACTTAATATATGCGTTAGAGCATTTTTTGAATCCAGGTCATCGGTGATTTGGGAAAGACAATAAGAGTTAGAGAAAGTTGGGTGAATTGTGTTGGGTGGAATTTCAGCCAGGCTAGTGATTCATGTGAGCCAGCACATTTGATGATCATTATTTACGCTCAGCCATGTGCAGTTTCATTTTTTTATACTAACTTGTTTTCTCTGTCAGTACAAATTTAAAGTGTTTGTGATTGGTGTGCTTCTTCTTAACAGCAATTGCTTTTATCTCATTGGAGCCATTATCCCCTATTTTATTTTCAGATGGTGCTGAAAAGTCTTTTCGTGACTGTAAGAGTTTGATACAGTTTGTTAAAGTGATCTTCTCTTCCATGCAATAGGCTTTTTACTGACAGACTATTGATAGCTGTTTTAGACGGTTTTGTGAAATAACTCCTTTTTGCTTTACAAAAAGTATCTTTGATCACTAATGTTGAAGTGAAACTTTATGTTCATTTCCGTTTATCAGATTTCCAATCTGCTGTCTGTTTTTCAGCATGATTTTATCCTATCTGTTGTTTAGTTTTCGTTCACAGTGTCCTGTCACGACACTTTTGTGGCATTTGTCTCACCTTTTACTTGTGACAGTAATAACTCTAAGTTTACAATAGCTACCGGAAGTAGATTTTCTGAATTTATGTGATTAATCGCTGTAAAGACATTGTGATGTATTCAACTGACTGTCTTTTTTAAATGTGAAGCTTCGATTTTCGTCGGACAATGGCGTACATTGTTACCATTGCTGTATGATGAAAATCATATGCTCAGAACAGTATCATTGTATTGTTGAACAATCAATATCATCACGATTATTTTTGGAGACATCTTCTGACAAAATTAACTAAGCAAGAGTGGTTGAATGCATTGTGATATGAGGGAAATTTCTGATCAGGGACATTTTTATTGTTAGTTTGTGAACTTCAGAAATAGTTGAATACGCGAGCAATCTGAGTTCTTACATCACGTCTTCAGCAAGAAGCAATTATTCCGCATTCGAATTCATCAAACGAGAGTTAATTTTTGCGTGTATGTTTTACTTGGTAAATTATAAAGAGTTAATTAAATAGCTCGAGGAAAATATTTCTCTCTATTTCAGATGATCCGAAGTCAACACTAAATGCATACGTAGATTCATACAGTCGAGTTGCGGATTATAAAGGTAGGTATTTATTTCACCGAAAATTATTTTATGGTTCTCTGTTTACTTTGGACTGTTCTGTAACGATCGGTGTTCATCTCCTTCTACTACTCATATCACTTGTCTTGATTCATAGACGACTAATCAACCAATTCAATAACCGACAATACTGAGTAGCTTTTTAAAAATCCTCTTTGCAACTGCACTTCTTTGTCGAAACTCGGCGGGATATATTTCTCATGTCAGCAGGTGTATGCAATTTCACCTAATTGTAATAACTTGCAAATCGTTATTGCAAAGTAGCGCGGGAAACTGGTGCTTCAACGTGAGTAATTGTGCTTCATCTATTTCAGCAAACTTGATAATCTCCTGGAGCTTATTTTGAGTCCATGTGAACACAACAGACTGAGATGAGTTGAGTAGCAGTTGGAGAATAATTTTGATGAGACTGAAATGCCCTAATCGATTGGTACTGATAACCAGAGGATTGTCCAAAAATATTATAAACTTATCTGTTGATGTGTCGATAATGCATGGAGGACAGGCACACTATGGGAATAATTGGATACACGAAGATAGAAGGGCTAATTTTATGCTGCTTACAGGCTGACCTTTAAGCTCTCAAGAATTAAATAATCCACATACTTCACACTTATTTCCGCCCATTTGTTTCAGCTGGACTGATTGAAATTCTGACATACGTAAATCCACAGAATGTCGAAAAAGAAATAAAACCTGGTGAGTGATTTTATCAAAATCTCTACATGCCTGCATATAGATAACAGTGAACGAATTATTCCCATATTGAGTCCTAAGAAAAAGACGTAAACAGCGAAGAAAATATTCTTTTCGATGATTCATTTTCATAAGCTGCACAATCGTAATTATATTTAACAAACAAATCATAAAACTATTCAGTACTGGTAAAATTTTCCTTTTATAGGCTACACTTTGCATTACGCATTACTTTTATTCGAGGACAAATTTTACCAGTTTCTAATCGGTCTTAAAAAGTCTTTGTAAAACATAATTACAGTTTACGAAAGGAATCGCTGAAAAGAAAATTTTCGTCGCTCTTTACATCTTTTTCAAAAAACGTCAGCATTCTAATGAATCAAAGATGCACACTTGTGGTCCTTATGAGTGTCTCGTTTGTTTGTCATCAAGAGACAAAGATGGTATTTACCTCCCGGTTTACGCATGATAACGTCAATGGTACCAGAACAACGTTAACTGATTCTAATTGTTGAAATAACGTTTATCTAGGGTGTGGCACGAAACCTTGCGCATCAGTGAGGACACATTCAACTTCCTATTTTTGCTGCTGCGTGAACTATTATCCTTGTCTGTCGATTTGAAGCACACCACTGGAATCAATGAACTCACTTGTGAGTGTTCTGAAAGATTCTCTGTTCAATTAAATAGTGGTGGGGGCTATTTTGGCTGGATAAGTAGGCTGTGGCTTATTGTTGTCTGCTGTTCTCTTAACCACTCCCAGATTCTTTTTCAGATTACAATTACTATTGTTACTCTCCTGAGTCTCGAGTGGAAAATACCACCTCAGCTTCGCATCAACACACCATCCTCCTCTCTGAAGTTCTTTGTAGCTGTCTCAACAACTGCTGACTTACCTCTATTTCTCGTCCACATAATGTCCACCATGTCACTGTCATACCACCATTCACCTCCTCATGTCCCATTCCTGTTAAACTCAACGGACTGGCGTGTGATATTACTCACTTCATTTTGATTTGCATATTTGTTGGGTAGTAGGTTCATGACTGGTGTGTCATCAGACTTCTATGTTGCTTATGTTTTCTGGCCTTCTTGTCTTCAGTACTGAGGAATCAAAGTAAGGTGTTGACAGAAGTCTGCGACTGCCTGTTGTAAATGATTTGTCAACACGATAAGCCTTCGAATCATGTAGAAGCATCGGTTTGACTTCAGTGTGGAGACCCAGATCTTATCCATTATACTGGGTGGAATAAACTTATCTACTGTTTTGAAGGCAGTGAGATTTTGTTTTGCTTTTAAAGTTTCAGCGAAGTCATCACCCTTGCTACCACGTGTAGTTGAAATGGTGCCGCCTGGATAGTTAAGGGAAATGATTTCCTGCACATTTCCGCCATTGCTGTTGGTTGGCTGATTAGTTATGCTCATCACCACTATTTCTCTACGCTCACTTGAAGACGTATCTCCGCTGGCTGCTTCTTCTGCCAACGTGTTCGTTTTCACCTGCAGATCTTCGAATTTGCGTGACATTTGACATAAACCGTCTGCAAAGTTCAAACTTCTTCAATCTTCTTGTTGCTGCAACGTTTGACAATCCTCTTGCTGTTTACGGTCTAGCACACAACCGAGTCCAACAAGACCAGGAATATGATTGGTGATCAGCCTCACTGAGTTTTCCATTGTGCATCTCTTGATATTCGCCCTATTTAGTTAGCTGTTCGGGGCACTGCACTCCGTAGTTTCCAATGCTGTCAAAAGTATTTTCATAGTCGATGAAGTTTAGGTAGTTATTGATTACAATCCTGGGCTCTCTTCGATGATTAAGCGTAGCGTTGCGACTTGAACCGTAAATGAATTGCTTTCCTTAAATTCAGCTTGTTACTGGGGGAGTTTCGCATTCATAGCATCATTCAGTACCTCCAGGATGACATTAGCTAATATTTTGCTTGGATCAGGCAATGCATGATTCTCGCCGAGTTCTAGCAGAGGCATAAGTCGTCAGTGTTTGATAGTTTGACAAGGTAGGCTATCCTTCTGACCAGCAAGTACACTTCCACCATCCAAAACCAGTGACGTGCACCAGTGCACCAGTGGTGTGAGTATTTATCCATGAGGTGACTCTGAAGGAATTCCTTCTGGTCCTCTCTCCTTCCCGCATTTCAGTAACATTATGGTATTCGAAACATCTGACTTTTTTGGAATATTGGCGTTCACTGAGAGTACTGTGCCTGCTATTGATTGTATTTCTAGATAATTTGCTGGTGGTGGTCTGTTCGAGATTTTACGTCGTTTCTCTTGTTTTCTACCTAGCATGCCTTCACTTTACTTCATTGCTTTTATCTGTGTTTGTTTCTTCTAGGACATCTATGTGGTAGACTCAAGTAGTATTCTGAAGTTTTTCTACCATGCGACAAAATCTGCTTCACTTGTCAATATGTCGCTTCTGATCATCTTCTCGTTTTTATTTCCACTATTCTGAGTCATCATATTCCTGAGATTGAGGCGAGGATTTTCTGAAATTCGGTGTATTCAATTGACGAAACATATGTCATTTCGTGTATGTTATCTTGCTACCTGAAGTCAACAACTGAGTGAATGTACAGAAGGGTCAACCGTCCGCATATTTTTCACCCACAACCTCTCGACCTACGACAGGTCGCCTTCCCTTCTTCTTTGCCTCCATTTTCGCATTCTGATGTCGCTAATCGTATATAGTTATCTATGGAATTCCTCCTTCTACTCTTGGTTCACGTCGCTTTCAGAAGCATGACACTGAAGTCCGGTCTGTTTTAATTAAGTGTGTTTTGTGTCTATGAGTGGATGAAGGCTAATTCAAATCGAGCGTCAAAACGAGTACACAATTTAGTTTGTTTTCTTTGGGAAAAACTGGGAATACGAAGTTTTTCCACCATCTGCGAAAGAAAATTATTGTACATTTATTTTCTTTAATGAATTTGAATCAAGCGAGCACAACAGTCTTTGCAGAATAAAATTCCACCATCATTTATATCGTTAGCTTTGGTCTGTAAGTAGATGACGAGAAGCCAACTAAATAAATGAGGGTACAATTTCATTCTGCAAAAACTGTTGTTCTTGCTTTGTTCGAAGTCACTGTATTCAGACATTGTTGAGAGGAATTACATAATGCAGCTAGATTGCGAAAATGCAGTCGAACTTAACTCACGGTGAAAATAAACACAGTTTCATGCTTTACGGTGATGACAAAAGGTCAAATTAACACGGGCAAATGACTAAACAAAGTATTAGATGCCTGAATAGAACTGTATTTTAGTTTATGAGTTGTAAGATGGAAATGCATTTGTTTATAAAACTCCAGGTTCGTTATACTAAACCTCATGTATTCCAGAGACTACTTCTTCTGTAACTTAAACAGTAGCAAGCCTTTCCATCGTCAATTAGCTGATAACCGAACACGCAAGACTTTCCTCATTCAATGGTTTTAAAGGACTGATCGTGGGCACGAAATTTCACCTACTTGTGATTTGAAACCGAATATGCCTGGATAACGCAGTAATAAACTAGAATGACCTAAGTTTGCTGCTGACTGTTCACTGTTACTCACACAGCACAACACACAAATTATCAGTCATTTCACAAAAACCTACACCCAATAAATGTTGTTCTCAATACTTCTTCAGCATGCAAGAGTAATTAATAACTTAAGCAGAGGAGAGTGCAGAATTACAAAGGTGTATGGCAAATAGGAAGTAAGAAATATATGCACAGCATCATTTCGGTAGTTAAAAGTCCTTTAAAGAATAAACTGTTTCAACCAACATTATGACATGCCCTAATTTTGTGTTTTCTTCACTTCAAACAGAAATCCTGAGACTTGAACACTTATATCAAAGTAAATGGGCGAAGGAATTTCTCGAATGTAAGTCATGGGGTGCATGTTTATGATTCTTTGGTGCTCGCGAATCGAACTGTGTGTCCATTAGAAGCATGAATTTTCACTGAAGTTAAACATGTTAGATTGTGAACTGAAATGAATTGCAGTGTCATTCGAGATGTCCAATGCATTCAGTTACACCACGAATAAATCATCAAAACAGTTACTGCAGAGAGTGACCTCCAGATGCCGTTAGCACAGAAAATTCTATCAATAAAAAGTCTGAAAACGTTTAAGGAGAATGAGGAATGAATACTTAATACCAACATACTTAATTCCAACATTAAATCTGGCTACATCGGGTCATCTGTAGAATGAATGCCTTTGATTCACCTTTCAATATTCTTTTCAATGCAGAAACAATAAAGTTGGACGGAAAAGTTATCTAAAGCCTCAAATAAGTTGCCATGTACGTAGTATAAAAGAAACAGCTTCAGTGTTTTGCTTTGCTTTGTTTTACTTTTCATATCTGAGAAACCCTGAGTCGACATTTCGCGTTTTCTTACTGTCCCTTCTAACCGTGTTTCCGAGTACAAGTAAATTACTTACCGAAATTATCTACACTTTTACAGCAATCGGTGCGGAAGACAAGAAGCTCGTAAATTTTTATACTGGTATGTTATTGCATCCTCAAATAACAGAAAGAGTGCATGAGACACCTTGTTACTGTGTGTGGAATGAGCGTTAGCTTGAAATCATTTGATGTGACAGATTTTAACAAGTGAAGCCATTATCGCTCATTTATACGAATGCAATTTAATCCATTTTATGAAGTATTGTCAGATTGGTCGTCAACTCAATGAAGAGTGACGTGGTATACAGTAGTGAAAAAAATTCCTCCATCATCCACTTTCTCTACAGTGTCCTCTTCAGCATTAGCTTGTTCAATACGTACATGACACAGTGAAACAGCATGCATCATTGTTAACATTCCGAATATAATTTATAGTACACAGATATCTCAAGTTCATTTACATGATTTTGAAACCTTGATTATATGGTTCTATTTCATTTTTATCAAATGTCGAATTTTAAAAAACACTAATATTGTTATTGGCTACTATTCTAGAATATTCTTAGTATATAAACACATATATATATAATTGCACAGCCAGAAGAACGAATTATCGAAAAGGATATTCTTCGCTCATTTATTTTGTGTTTTATAAATGTCAAATGGTTGAATACATCCACAGTTATTCAGTTACATTATGAAAATACTACTGTTATTCGTCCCTTAGTTTCTGGGCGAACCATCGAGGTGCTCACTTGCAAATATGTCTTCAAATGGTCCAGTACAAAACAATAACATAAGAATAATATAGGTGATAGTAGACGTCCTTTTCTCAACTTCAAGTGATTCAATAAGCTTTCCATTGTGTGCCGTTTCGCATGCGGCATACTCAGATGTTTGTTGAATTGGATGCATCAGAGTATACAGCACTTAGCAGTGTTGGTAAGGCAAACAAGTTATTTCATGGTTGACACTGTCGAAAGTATTCGTAAATTCAATGAGGATGAGGGAACCAGTTGTCTGGCATTCTAGCCTATGTTTGATGATGATTCACAGTTGTGTAATCGCACAAGAGCCTGATTTGTCTTCCTTCAACCCAAACTGGTCCCAGCGGCAACATTCATCCTTGACATCTGTTGAGATAGATGTGCCTAACCATTCTATTTATAAATGAATTTCAGATTATTACGAAGATTTATTACTGTTCGATATGTCATATGCTTATTAGTGAACTTAATTCACACTTTCCTACTGTCGCAGTTTACAAACACACACTGCAGATTTTTGGCTATTTGAGAAATTAAATATGTACCAATCAATGCTTCCATTCTCTGTAGATGAATACAAGAAGGCACTGAAAGAAGATAAAGCTTTAAATTACAGTTTTATTGGTATGATTGATTTTTCTTAACCAGCATTTTTATTACTACTTAATCTGAAATTCATTATTATCAACTATTGTTCTCTTGGGTTCTGAGTGGAACATAGGAATTCAACAACACATCTCCACTACGTTTTATTTTCTGCCGTCCTCTTCAGCTGGGTGCACGATTGCCTATAATCTATTATCTCCTCACAACATCTCCTCTACGTCACCTTAGGACAGCCCACTCGTCGCTACCCATTGGGATTTCACTCGAGAGACTGCCCAGCGCACGATTTCATCCGACAGGCTCCTCAATGTATACCTTACCGATATTTATTTTCTTCTACTTATCTGTTGAGCTATTAGCTCTTGGTTGGCTTGTTCTCAGCCAGAGTCTCTTGTTGCTACTTCTTTCTGGTTGGCCATTTGTTTTTCATTATGAAGCTAGAGAAAACATCTGTTTAGAGAATTCTGAAACGTCTTGCAAATAATTTTCGTTACTTGTCAAGTTTCTGATCAATATAGAAGGACCGATTTTGCATCGGTGTTCAAAATGTGAATCTTGTTTTATATGCTGAAGCCGAATGCAGAAGATCTCTAAACTGGTTTCAGGTTGACGAAGGTATATCTTGCCTTTCTCATTCTGGCTGGCTGAATTTGACATCTTCATCCATTCAATCTGTGATTTCTGCTTCTTAGCCAGTGAAGGTGGTGACCGTTTGTCAAATCTCCGCCATGGATGGTGATTCGTGCTGATTGTTGTTGCTGCTATTTGTTGGTTATCTTCATCACCTAAACTCTCTCTGTATTCACCTGGAGTCCTGCAAAATCCAGAGCTACTAGTGTTTTCTTATCGAGGGTTCAGCTTTCCCCTGTCTTCTCATCCCCAGGCATAGTCTAATGCATTATCCAGTCGACCGCTATTAGAAATTTCACTGATGATAATAGACAACCAGCTTCTCTTTCTCCTGTATTCACTTCGAACGACTCGCTCAATTTTCCGTTGTGGATCACCTGACACGTGGCACTGTCATATAGCCAGCTGTTGATTGACGTTGATAAGCTTTTGTGCACGGCACACCGTAGTATTAAAGTAGTTTCCAAATTATTTCTGGGTCAACGCTACACTGTCGAAGGTGCTTTCGGAGTCGATTTAGGGAGTTGAAGTAGAGGTTTGACTGTCAATGTATGCTTTGTTCAATGACGATGTGTAGACATGCGATTTTACCAGCACATGATATACTTTTTGCGAATCCGGCTTGTTCTGGTGGATGGCATTCTGTAATCTCTCCAGGATGATGTAACTTGGTAGTTCTACTTAGCGTAAACATCAGCATTAGTCCATGCCAGATTTTGCAGAGACCTAAGTAACACTTCTTTGGCGGCTTGACGAGATAGCCTTTGTTTCAGTCAGTGGATACTATGCCAAACCTTTTTCCAAACCGTTTGTAATAAATGGCGTGAGAACACATGTTGCATTCTCTTGAAGAGAGTTTCATCCGGTCCTGCTAACTTCTTGGGTGGATTTCAGTAGCTTTATCGCATTCAGGACTTCAGCATTTTTGCTAGGAGATTGGTGTTCACTAGTAGGCAGTTCTCTGCTTGTTGTCAGCGGTAGTGCTGTTTCTGGGAGAGTTGCAAGTGGAAGACGATTCAATAGTCCTTCAAAGTGATCAGCCCATCGTTTCGTTTGTTTCTCCATCTAGGACATTTGTACATATTTCCTTGAACATCGCCTTCAGAAAGTTGGTTCCAATATTCTTCCACACAGGCGTCCTCAGTGATGCCAGCTAGTGTTTCCGATCCGTAGTCAAGGCGTCCATACTAGTTTTTTCCTTCAGTTTCTGAATGTTGAAATTGGTTTACAGTGGCTCGTCTCCAGTTGTTCTGTTAGATTTCAGATTCACGTTGAATTAAATGATGGTCTGAGCCTATATCTGCTCCCCTTCTCGAATATGTATCCAGCAGCCTGACTGCGTATTCACTTCCCTGAGTATTATTGAGATGAAGTTTATCTGGTGTGTGGTGTATCCATCAGTCGAAATCCATATTGCTTCGTGTATTTGTTTGTATTTGTACACGCTACCTCCATTCACTTTATTATTCAGAGCTCAGAGGTGTGTGAATAATTCTCCATTCTCATTCATTTCTCCAGGCACCAGCAGCTTGATCCATCATGAATCCACTCCCAGTTCGGCCCACATTCATATCGTTCGTAAGGATACTGATGTATCATCTTGGATGTTGTCCATTACTGTTTGTAGCTGTCAATATAAATCTTCCTTCTTCTCTTGTCATGCATTGTTCTTAGTACTGTGAACATCTTTCGACAACTGTGACCTTCTTTTCTGCCTTTTGAGTTAACTCTCCCTCTCTTGATCCTGGATAGAATTTTTCCCACTGCATTCGTTTTAAATTCAGTAGTTAGTTGAAATTAAGTAACTCGTTCTATGAAAAATGTAAACAACATTTTGAACTGGTGTTTTGTATCACATCGTCCTTACAATCTGCAATCACACTTGCGTTTCATCCATGGTAATCTCACTTCTCTACTAAAATATTTCAAGCAAAATTACATGAGGATAAATCTAATAACCATTAGGACATTAATTGCCATACTACACCGCTCTCCTATTTGTTCTTTATATTGATTTGTTACTAAGATCCACTGTTATGACAAATCACATTCCAGTGATATTCAGAATATCTTCGGGGTACTTCTCTATGGATTGATGACATAAGCGTTTCAACTGATGATAAATTTCAGTTTGCATATGTGAAGTAATTTTGTGCCTTGCTCTTACTCAGAAACCTGACCACATTCACAATGTGTCATGCATCACTTAGGTGAATCCAATAGTCAATACTTGGTACTATGATGAAATCTGTTGGATGCCTTAAACTGAGTCATTCTAAAACATCTAGGTAGATTACCACTATCATCATGCTGATGGAACATTCCACAGGCCAAATAATCATGTGTCCCTATCTGACAAAGCTTATGAGTAATCATTACACCTAGTGAATTTTTATTTATTCCTTCAGCCAAAAGAGTACCATACAATCTGATGAGAAAGGCGATTTCAAAGAAATGGGAAAGAAGAAAAAATCTCGATATTGCAGAAGGTAATTTAGAAGGGCAGTAGATTATTGGATATTTTTTGTAGGAAAGTAAATGTTCTTCTTCTGTTATTAGGCAAAGTATGTAAAGCCACAGAAAACTTCCCAGTCTTACACAAGATTTACTACAACACATCGAAACGGTGATGTTTTCTCTTAAACATCTCACCAACGAGTTTAAATTCAGACTAAACGAGGAAGAAAACGTGATATATCACTGGATGGTAGTCTTAAAGTGAATATCTGATGATTTGTTAGCGTTGCATGAGAAAACGGCATTCTGTAGGAGTGTTCTGAGCATTTCATTGGTCACACTCACTGATTTATGTTCATGATCGTGTGTATTTTAAGGCAACTTGGATGTCAGGGATTATTTCGTCAGAACTGATATTCACACTTGACAGAGAATGATGAGAAAATTTGTCAGCTGATACGCGATCCAAATAACAGAAAGTAGTTCAAGGCATAGACGCTAATAGGCAAACACCAAACTTGTATTCACTTAGTCATATTTTGTCATCAGATTCACTCAAAAATTGATTACTTGTTATTAAAATGATTAGAGAACACTTACTTGACGGTCTGATAGCATTCTCTAAGAAATCTTTATACTTAGTAAGCAATTAAACTGTGATGGTGCTATTTCAATTAACGTCAGCTGAATCCATCTTTAAATAAATTGATTATGATAATGATGGATTCATCGTGTACCTGGAAATTGAATGACAGTGTGATATGTCAATTGCAGGTGCTTATTTTGCGGTTACATCAGACAATTTGAAGAGAGACGAAGGTTAGTTTTCTTTCACTTTGAAACTCATTTTCGTAACTCATAAAGCGTGCTGAAATATCTGTCTTCATTTTGTCAATAGTGGTAGATACAGCAGCTAGCTGAATGTTTGAATCAATTCTCGATTTCTTTGAATATACGGAAAAGTTGTCTCCACGCATCCGAACACTATGTCTGCCCGAATTCATTGTGCATCAATATATTCATTACTGGCAGCTGACACGTGACCGTTACAATATCGAACTCTAAATAGATAGATTTCGATCAGAAGTCTATTCACTTAAAGATAAAAATAAAAAAAATAAATCATCTTGATGAGCAATACGTGGTGAAAGCTCTGATAATGAACATTGTTGTTCATATATTCTCACCAACAACTACAAAATGTTTTGAATGGTTTTATTTATATTTAGTGCGAAGTGTGTGTGTGTCAATATCCATGCCTTACATAATATGGTTTACTCAGAAATAATGCACAGAAATGTATTCACGCAGTAAAGTATCAGTGTAACGGTAGAAGGCAATAGACTTGATAAAGGAATATTTGGGAAAAGTGAAACAATTAGTCCCTTTGATAAATTTGAATAAGGCATTAAGAAGACAAATTTCGCGAGATGATATCATTTCGTAGTTTCTTTACAACCACTTTACAACTAACATGGTTAACAATGATAAAATAAAGTTCATGACAATTACTCAGTTAAATAAAAACAAAAGTACATATGATTGGTCATTAGTATGTACTTTTGTTTTTATTTAACTGAGTAATTGTCATGAACTTTATTTTATCATTGTTAACCATGTTAGTTGTAAAGCGGTTGTAAAGAAACTACGAAATGATATCATCTCGCGAAATTTGTCTTCTTAATGCCTTATTCAAAGGAATATTTATTTGGAATTCGGCATTACTGTAAAGCCAGCTAATATACAGCTTATCTTCAAAACCACATCAGTAAAGATTTTCTGCGTTATGCTACTTCTCTCCTTTAAATTGAGTTTCTTTGTATCTCTGACACATCTCACATGTTTTTCCACAAAGCTGCATCATTTGCTTTCTTTAACGTCAAATCTATCTCCCCACTATTCAATGTTTTTATGCCGATGAACGTCGCTTTATGTATATCGAAGTATGCGCTGAAGATGTTGCTCAGTAGAGCAATGAAAGCTTCGCAACCAAACCATCCAGCTCAGAGAACACAACCACACCAAAATATATATATACTGCCGATAGATCTTTGCAGTAGCACATGCCACTTCAGTCCTTTACATGCAAACACCCCTCAAAATGTAGCATGTCTTCATAAATGCAACTGTTAACATGAGAAACCATTGACACGATTAATCATTCAATGACCTGACAAATTATTCTGTAAAAGTTTACTATTCTATGCAAACGATTATTGTTCCATAACGGACAAAGTCAAGCCAACATTGAAGATGGGCACAGATGCCGTATAAATGCAGTTACACATAGCAAAGGTATTTGTTTTACTGTTATCATTAACTACCCAAAATAACATGTGGTAAGTTGGACATTATCAACAGTATGAGCACTTATTGTGACAGTCAGTAGTCATTGCGTTAATATGATTATTTGCCGTTGAAGAATTCACAATGAAATATTTCATACTTTTCGATATTGCGAAATTATAGTCCAAATTGAAATGAGAAAGAAGGATATGATAGAAGCAAATAAACGATTGAATACATATAGAGGTAAGATGATTCTGTGAATTCATATTGCATACTACATTCACGAATAATAAAAAGTTAGTATGAAAATTCACTCGAAGTTGTGTTTATAGTTATTCGTTAAGTGCCCTATTTACTCAACAATAACAGACGCATTAACTAGGTTGTATGAGATATCTTCTCCACCACCAGTACAATACCTTCTCAGAAATAATCGGAAGGCCAGCGTTACCACCAGTGAGTCAGTACTCCTTCAGCAAGGACTGGATTATAATTTTGGAAACTAATATATTCACTGTGTGGTGAGAAGCAACGTGTTGAGAAATAATCAAGTTATTATGAAGCGTTTTCGGATAGTCAATATTTGTATTCAGTGTGATGATGAGTATGATATTGAAGTTTCTTGAGTAACGTTCTAAATATCATTCAACACTTCTTGTTTTCATAGCTCACCTTAAATCGCTGGAAACGGCAGCAGTTATCGCATATAATGCACACAAGAAAAATTCAAGTGAGTGAATGTATTCATCAGTTTGATAAGTGGACTTTAAGGTGCAGTGAAATCATGAACAAGGCTAATATGATTAAACCATTGGATGAACGTGGTGATGATTGTATATGAAAAGTAGACGTGTTTAATTATTTGTCAACACACAGACACCTGAAACGCATATTTTTCTACAACTATTTAGCAATTTTCACTCAACAGTGCTAGTACCGTGAAACCAAGATCCACTTCCACTTTGCTGAGTATTGGAAAGCAGACAGAAGAGTAGACCATCATCAATCTTCTCAACATATTGGTGAAGATGACACTGACAGTAGAAGGCACATAGGTCACACTGTGGTAGAATATAATTCGATATGAGATTAGTTCGGTGAAGATAGGACAAATTGCAACAGTATTCATAGCTAGATGACGATTCTATAACAATTTATCTCTCATAAGCATATCATAAGATTGTATTAATATTATGTAGCATGTTTGCGAGGTATGGGGATAAGAATATCCACAAATGATGAGCGACAGTTTTACCCTGCTAAAAATATTTTGAAGTTAAATATGTATTCATCACTCAGCTCCATGCGATTCATTTTCAATTGAAAATAACGACATTTCCACAAGAAGGAACTTCAGAACTTCATGTTTACCAGAGAATGACATCATCATAAATGGATCACGGTAACTAGCTTGGTGCCACAAATAATTAAAGTTTTGGTCGTCAACAGGCAAACATCGAATAAATTATGAACAGAATAATGCATGGTATTTTGAATTGACAGTGACTCGTTCTTGAAGATCTTTAGTTTGAAGATCATGTGAAGGTTAAGACAACAGACCAACCAAACGATAAGTGAAAGTGAGAATTTACTCACTAAGTGAAAATACAAAGCGCGCCAATTACTTACGCATATCTCTTTCCACATTCAATGTATTTGTATGAAGTATTTCCCATTAATAATTTCAAGTACTCAAGCTACTTTGAGTTTGATAACAAGTTATTTTTCCTTTCAGAATCATTGGATGCTGAGAAAGTGTATTGGAAGGCTCGTAGTCGTGTTTCCTTCAGCACACGTAAATTTACATGGTTATTTGATTTGATCACATGTGATATTTCATAGTTCTAGAGATGAATGCACCTCTCAGTGAATTTCATTTTTGCAAGAGACAAAAGTAGCCTGTGTGGCTGTTGATTTGTTATCAAATTGTCTTTTTCCCTAATACCACATGAGGCTATGTCATTGATAAAATTAGCAATATTACTTGTCCCACTAATATTGGAATCTGCAAACTGTTGTACAGTCGGTGAGAATTAGGTCTGAAAAATCTGTGCACAAGAACGTCAAATTTACTGCTCATATAGTGTTATTTTCATATTATCGAAACACGCAAAATCATTCCGATAAAGCTTCAGTGACTTCATTAATGCATCATAGAATAAAACCAGAAAAGTTCATCACATATTTTGTGAGGTTCAGAATAACAGTTACATTGAAAATACATAACATGATCGAGTATATTGAGATTTGAGCTTTATTTCATATTGTCGAAGCATGACACTGAAAATGCTACCAATGCATAACTTACAATCTATTCACTGTTTTAGTAATGCTAGAGGAATACATAAAACTATTGGAAATGAAGAGGATTAGATTTTTAAAGTGTAAGTTGAAATATTAAAGTGATTTAGAACTGCCTAGTTCAAACCCCAGAATACAGAATAAACTGGCTCCTGGCTGAAATGAAGGAAGATGCCAAGCTGTAATAATGAAGTAAGTCCCTACATAGATCTTCAGCGTGTTTTAAATTTCTAACTAACTGCACAAGTAGATATGAACTTGAAGCTGGATTTCGTCATTAGGTGAAATTAGTTAGATGAGTTCTTGAGAAACAAGTACCAATGAACTTCTCTTCACTCGCATTTCTCGATTACTCGTCAGTTTACAAACACGTCATGACTCACCTACTGGCTGACTGATTACATGACCACAGTCGAGAGCTGTGAGCAATATCAGGGTTGTAACAACTTTTGATAACATCATAAATTCAAGTAGTGCTTCGTATAGCTAATTACCTGTGAGGAGAGTTGAAACTTAAAAGCAAATTTGATAATGTCCGCAGGTAATCCCTGTTTCAATCTTCACTGGAAGTATTGCCTGAAGATTAACATCACTGTATATCCGATGAAAATTGTCGACTATAATTTCTGCTTTTCAAGATCCTTGTCTATCCTCAACTCAGCACTACTCTGTTTCTGATTTCATTTTGTTTCAGCTGCAGAAAATTGAATTCACTTCCAAGGGAATTGAAGCAATAGCAGTGAAGGAAATAAATCGTTTGCTTACCTCTTTTTTTGTTTAATTAAATATAACATTTTCTTTCGTATGATCTTGTTTCATTGTGCGTTCAGTGTCTTTCTGGCAGAGTGAGATGTGTCAGAATGAATTGACTATTTGCAATAAATAGGCTATCAGTATTGCACAACTCGAGGTTTGTTGCATTGACGAACGAATTGTATTGAGTAGGAGAGATCAAATGTCAACAAGGAGAAGTGTAATCACTCGGCATAGATTGCAAAGCACGTGTACATACAGAGAAGTCCAACAACCTCCATATTTTCAAGTTATTTGCTACGCGCATTTCCATGAAATACAATATCAAAAGAGACTTTTCAAGATCTAACCACGTGGAGATTCATAACACGTGGGTTGTTTGTCTATAGGTTATTTTGTCAACCACAGTGTACAATATGATATATTGAATGTAAATTCTCAGTCACTATGCGTCATTCGAATGCGACAAATTCGTCATCCATGTTATGAAGGAATATCATGGTCTGAGAAATACGGAATTAGAAGCCTCATTTTATATATCATGCAAATAAGTCAACATTGTGTTTTGAGGGCTCTTGTTTCCACAATATTAAAACTCCTAATTACTGGAATGTGACAAAAACAGCATTGAATATCAAATAGTTACGCACATCTCTCAGACGTTTTAAGCAAAACATAGATTAACCTGAATGTTCAGTATACCTGAATATAGTCGAATTAAGGATCAGACGGTAAAATGCAGACACTGTTAGCAACATACTAAATGATGTACAAAAGACGTAGATTTGCCTGTTTTATCACAACCGAATTGTGTAAACGTCGCGACATATGGAATCGACAACTAGATGGTGGGCACATTAATGCAGTGCTAGGATTTTCAGTCGGGAAACACAACTCTCCTTCCTGTCAGTCAAAATCTCAATACACCTTGACAGAATGGTTACCCTGAAAATCTTTCATGTTGCAGGACATGCTTCAGCGAGTTCATGAGCGTCTGTCTGGATGTTTGTCTGTACGTGTCTCTATTTATGTGTGCGTGTGTGTCTATTTGTGTCAGTAGTATGGTGATCAATTTGTCAAATAAATGACTGAGTAGAGTGTTAAGTGAATGATGACTTCAGGCACATGTGAATTAGTTAATGAATAAGTATGTGCGTAGTCAAGTGATCGCTGAATGTGTGATAATCGCCATCATCATCATCACATTGCCTACGTAGTAATCTGTGAGAGAGTGAAAGATATAGAGATCGAGCGATCAATATAGAAAACAAAACAGAGAGAAGGAGAGACCTGAGGATGCTTTGAATTTATGACAGAAATTTACTTGTTGCTTGGTTATCCCAGTGGTGATGAAATGGTGCGCTTGTTTTTTGGCGTGAATGTTTCTCTAATTTTGTACGATTTTTATTTAAGCAAGCCTTCACATGCTGGTGGATATTTATGGGAAAAAATGAATATAAGTAAGGTGACAATGAGTCAGACAATCTGGGAGTCAGATAGTCAGTGCATAAAGTGAGAACTTATGAATGACAAGATTTGTCGACTGATGATTGTCAGTGCTGAATGAAAGAAACATTGATATCTGTCAGTCAAGCCTGTATCAAAACTGACCATTCCATGATAAGAGAATTTTGTGTTTGGTGAAATTATACACTGATACGGTATTATCAATTAATTACAGTGTGCTTTTATCATCAAATTAATTTCTGATGGATGCATGGAGGGATGGATGAATATGAATTCAGATGAGATGACATGAAGTAAGGTGATGTTCAGCTCATTAGTATCTGTCTCGTGAAGGCATTGAGTGAACTGACACAGTCTATAAAGCAGTGTGAAGACACCAAGAATAGTGGATAGATATGCTGAGTGCAGAAACTGACGATTCAGCACGGATTGAGATTCACAAATTCGTAGGAGTACTATACTACTATAAGAAAAGAATGCATACAACCGTCAAAGAAGTATGTTTCTTCAATACTGAAGACCAGTTCACAAAATAGGATGTGGAGAATAAAGAACAAGTGAGATAGATAGAGAGAGAGAGTGATTGATTTATAGGTTAAAATATGTAGAGAGTGGGTGACTGTGATTCAATCTGTGTTTTTATGTCTTTGTGCTTTTGGGCGCGTGTGTGTAGGATGTTGAAGAAATCTTCTCCCTACTCCTTGTGAGCTTCAAATGATGATGAGGTGAACGTTTTCTCATCACAGTGAGACTGTTGAGGACAGAATTAACCAGAAAGTCTATTGAGAGGTATTCATGAGAGGAATAGTGTATGTTCATCAATGTTTGTGTAATTTACATGTGTGCGTGTCGTGTTTTCATTTTAAAGAGAGAGATTAATTACGACAGAGATAGGTAGACAAACATACATTGAGACAGAATAGTGTGTGTACATTTCTGAGTGACAGAGAGAAAGAGAGAGAATTGTGAAAGTTTTTTGCACTGGTAAAAAATATGCTAAACTTCTAACGGAACGTAGCCTAGCCTGATATGCTATCCCATTAACAAAACACACCCATCTGCTCCTACATTCATTTCCCTATTAATAACAACTGACTTCATGTGCTTATGACATGTAGGCGCATTGCCTAGCACTGTCTATCATACATCTGCCTCCTATCTTTCTACTCTGATGAACTGTGTATAATCGAACGTATTGTGAATATGTTTAGAGTTTTTTTGATTAAATGAATGTTAAAATAGAACTTGGTTTCTGAGTTAAGTTGTTTTGATGATACTTGTAAATGCGTAGGAGTGTTTTGAATTGTCTCTAGCTATCGAGTCAATTTTCTGTGGTATGGACGTTAACTGCACTGTATTCTCCTCCTATTTTTCTGGATTTAGGACGGGTTTGTTAACTAATCATCGAGGAAACCAGCTCAGTCCTCGAGGCTGAAGTCACCTCAGTGCTTCTTTATACTTCAGAGACTTGCTGTGTCACATGCAACAGTCTTTTGCTGTAAGTGATCAACACCTGTCATTGTTAGTTCAGTCTTGAAGACTAGATTTCTGACCAGAAATGATAAACGATAACGAACACTGTGACAAGCGGTCTAAAAACCTTCAGCCCAAAAATTTAGCAGAAGATAATTCAGATAGATAAACATACACTGAGAAGACAGCTGAGTAACATCATATTTCATGTTCTCATGTGAATACCAAAACCTGAAATGCTGAGTCAGGTGTCCAAGTGACAGGTGATGAGTACTTAAGCGTTATCATGGGATTGGCTAAAGACGACATGAATGATCGTCCATTTCGGAAAACCTTTCTTAGAACCCCTCATAAGAACCCAGTGTCTGTACCATTCTTATACATTATTCTCTCAGATAAATAAATAAAATTGCATATGTATCAACAACTTGTCACACTTGGTCAAATTCCCGATTATCTACGTCTTCCTTAAGAGAGAATAACAAATGTTTTATGACTGCACACACACACACATACGCACACGTCATTGTATACTGCATATACACATATATTTTAACAAAAGTAGACTAATTTTGAAAGTCTGAGGTCAAATTTTGATCACAGTTCATACAATTTTGTTTGTTATACATGTCGATGCCTGTTGCATGGCTCATGATTGGACAAAGTTTCAAAAACAAGAGGTGTCCCTTTTATATATAAACCTCTGTTATGTTAATTTTGATTAATTTCCGTGAAGAAGTTCGGACCAGATTGCTAAACGAAACGTTGGAATTAATCATTTCAATATCTCTGAGATTTTACAAATATATTTTATAAATACAGTTTTCTAGTTCAAGTTTACTTTACGTTTTTAAGGTTTACAGCCCAATAAATTTCACTCAAAATAAACAGGAGAACTTGGTGACTGAAACTACAAGACAAAGTTGTGCAATATTGATTACTTCATTTATTGCCCTTGTTCTACAGCACCTACTTCAAATTGAAGAAGGAGCATACCTTTCGGTTAACCGTCATGGATGAGTGATTGATTACATAGCGTCTTTATGCTTTTTAATATGCCTAATGTGTAGCTAAAGTGAAAGACTTACTGGTTAAGGTCTACATTCATATCTTGAGAAGTGATCTTAATAGGCATTTGATGGTGCTCATTGAATCAGTTATGCTCAACAATGCAACTGTGAGTGCAGCAATCAGAATTCCGATGCAAGTCTTAGCACACACTAGCTCGAGAATCATTACATTCAGTTGAAACTCATAATTAACTTGATAGGCCTGAAGTCTCAAGTCAGTGAACAAATTGAATTTACAGACTGAGTGTTTTAAAGCACACATAACACTTCTATGTGATATTACTTACATAAATATCACTGATACGTGTTCGAATTGCCCACAGTTTTGAGTTCTTCAATATTTTGTAATAAAAGCTGCACATTTGTGAGTAACATCAATCACTATATCTTCTTCAAATATATTATCTCTGTACTGGCCTGTTGTAACGGTAGTGAGATATGGGTTAAGTCTGCTCGTACTTCAACGGTGTGACAACATACGAATGATGGACTGAAAACAGTTCTCAAACTTGGGACACAAGATACAAAAGTGATTTTTCTGTCCAGGAAAAAGGAGAAATGACTAGGAATTACGGCTATTTATTTGGTCACATTATGAGACCAATAAGTTACTCGCTCAAGATATGTCACCTATGATTTGAAAAGAATCCTCTAGAGCACATAATCCAAACTTTCAAGTGACGAAGGTCTGGGTAACATGGAAGGTATAAACAATCGGCAAATAGTGGATCCTCCCCGATTTGATACTGAATAAATGACTTGCCTGAAACGTTGTGAGGTTTTCACCGATTCCAAGACACAGTTTCATTCTAGTCCTCACGTCTAATTATGAAGATGCATTACAACTCAGACTACATACAATCTATTTAAGATACCCTCTAAAATTAACTACATGCTAAACTGAAACTGACTTTGTCACTAGATCCTGCCAGTGTAGAGATCAAACTGTTCATTATGTTATTTCACGTCAGTCTAGTAGAAACTAAACGCATTGAACGGCACGCAAATAATCATCTCACATATTTAAGTTTTCATCAGGAAT